TGGCTATATTCAACCAATGAAAACGGCTATATTCAACCAATGAAAACAGCTATATTCAACCAATGAAAACGGCTATATTCAACCAATGAAAACGGCTACATTCAACCAATGAAAACGGCTATATTCAACCAATGAAGCAATGAAAACTGCTTTATCCAAACATCGATTATACTAATTTCTGATTATTCAAATCTATTTGCATGGTCCAATTAGGCCAGACTTTTATTATCCCCTGTTTCGCAAACCCGCCAAATGAACAGGAGCCAAAAATGAAATAAAAATAAAATTTTATTTCAGCGTAATTTCTCGCGCTTGTAAGCGCAAAAAATTGCTAAAAAAATATTATTTTTATCTTCATTTTTTTACCGCCTGCCGCATAACAAGTCCAAGTTGCATTTACATGGGAGTATCATGATCAAAGTACCGAAGTCTCACGCAGATGAGAAACAAGGTTATACTTGGAATAAAATTTTTATTTCATTTCTTCTCTCCGATCAATGATCTCACTTACAATTCTTTGAGAATCACACAAATCTAATGGAAAAAAAGAATTAATTTTATTTTTTTTTCGCCCTCCTCAAAAAAATTTGCCTTATAAAAACCAGAGAAACAAGTAATAAAAAAAGTCTGGCCTTAGTAATTCAAACATACAATTCTCTGATCTACCAATTATGACTTTGTAGCACTATACTTACAGCATGGGTATCACAGATCTCTCGTGCAGAGATATAAATAACCGGTTTGGTCGTTGTAGTGAAGTCAGAAAACTCATTCATATTAAATTTCTCTTCTAAATCAGGCACTTGACAAACAGCAGCAAAGTATTGACTAAAAAACAAAGTCATTAACAAGTCATTGTCGTACATGCATATAAAAAACACTTGTCCAGAACATAAAGAAGGAAATGACACAGCAGTAGTATTATTCCTTCACTGTTGTATATATTTACATTGTATGGATACACCCCCCCCCCTTTCCTGCCAAAGTAATGAGATCAGTTATATTTTATACACATTGTATACATTGCCTATATCAGAAAAGGCACAGAGTGACTCCTGTGTTACTTTAAATCACTGTCAGTTGTACGCTAATAACTGTACACAATAAATTATGGCAAGAACTCAAAATTACTTCAACGTACGAAGAAAATAAAAAAATAACATTTGAATCAAGAAGAATGAAAGACGACTTACCGAAATTTGTTGTGCGCCTCTGATATATACTTGTTAAGTGAAGACATGTACTCGCTTTCTCCTTCAAACTAAAAATAGAAATTGAACGATTTAATAGTTGATGATTTTAGTAAAAAGAACAAATTTACATTTATACAAATTCATGCAATCCACAAGACACATTTCGTGAAGTGCCCCGAGAATGCTGGTCAAGAGACTTTCTTTCCTCATGCATTTTAAATAGTCCCTAAAGCTATAATTCTTTAATGATGTAGAATTTTTACTGATCAGTTTCAAGTCAAGTAGTAGTTTTTCGAGAAATGTAACATTTTTCCATTACCATATTACAAGTTTGCATGCATATACCTGTGCTCTCGCTATCGCTCGCAAATGTCGTAAATTACGAAATTTGGACAAGATTTACGAACAAAA